TCTAGAACCCCATCTTTTACCCTATCTTGACATCCTTTATCTGTACTGTTGTAGTCTGATTACCTTCCTTTGTCAAGCGTTTCTGCTGACATGCTAGGAATAATGCCGACCATGGTACTAGACCTAGAGTTTACTTTATTGATGTCAATACATTTTACAGTCAGTCAGATGTAAGCTTTTATACTGTTAACATCCCAACAATATTGTGTTTTTGCCTTTTTGAAAAATAAACTCTTTTAAAAAGCGATCTCTCTGCATCGATCTTATAACTCCTGCATTAGTTAAAGCTAAATTTACCAGAGTTTTGACCCGGAACTACTTACAGCAGACTTCAACATAATTAAAGCAGATCGCCTTCCTTGAAAAGTAATTGAGCGTCAATTTGAGGATTTTTTAATAAAGAAAGCGAACAATTACGTTGGATTTCACGTGCCACTGGTTTTTCGAGATTTCAAAGCGCAGCCCGGAGGCTAAAGCAAATGCAAATTTCCGCTACGCAGCCGGAGAGGTAAATTAGGAATACTAGTGACTTATAAATTATTAAGGTAACCGGCAGTAATAACAAGACAAATCCTCTCGTTAGCGGTCTATCTTTTATGCAATTATTGTCTCTTGCAATTCTGTATTAGCACGTTGTGGCGAATTAAGTTCGCGGATTTAGCTGCAGAGTGACAAAAATCCATACTATTATTTTCCAGATGTGTATAAAGTAAATAACACTGGGAAAAATAACACTGGACAACAAATTTTAGTTTTTTAATTGTATCTTGTGGGCAAAGTGCACTTCTTTGTTAATTTTGGGGCGCTGAATCCAAAAATGACAATGAAATAAAAAAATTAGTTGCGGTTTAGAAAAAAAACTTTTTATTTTTAAGGATATATTAAAAAAAAGTAACAAGATTCATATACTTATAAGAATCACTATATGCGCTGTCTTTTTGCTGTTCTTTTATGGATCGTTTCTGGAGCATCTCTACCAAGAATCCAACAGTAGTCTGCAAGCATGGAAGGATTCCACTTTCCCTGGTACCTTTTTTCCATTGTTGAAATATCCTGATGAAAACGTTCGCCGTGCTCGTCACTTACGGCTCCGTAATTGTCTGGAAAAAAGTCCAGGTGTGAGTGTAGGAAATGTATCTTAAGAGACATATTACTGCCCATCTTTTGATACGATGACAGCATATTTTTGACAAGGGTTTTATAGTTGTCAGCTTTTCTATTTCCCAAGAAATTAGTGACCACCAGACGGAAATCATTCCAAGCAGTTTTTTCAATACCTGTTAAAGTGTTTTCAAACTGTGTATCTTTCAAAATATTTCGAATCTGTGGCCCAACAAAAATACCTTCTTTAACCTTTGCCTCACTTAGTCTTGGAAATTTCTGACGCAGGTATTGAAAAGCTGAACCATCTCTATCTAATGCCTTGACAAAGTTTTTCCTTGATATGCAGTGGTGGTAATACAATTTTTTTCGAATCTACTAATGGCATATGATGTACATTTTTTTGACCTGGCTCTAGGAATTGACGAACAGGCCAGTTTTGTCTGGTGTAATGAAGTGCCTTTGCCCGACTGTCCCATTCACACAAAAAACAGCAAAACTTTGTGTAGCCTAGCTGCAGCCCAAGTAAAAGTGCAACAACTTTCAAATCGCCACAAATATGCCATTGGTGCTCATCGTATTTTATGCATGTCAATATTGTCATATGATTCTTTCATGTGAACTGCATACCCTACAGGAAGAGATGGTATAATATTTCCAATATGCAATAACACTGCCTTTAAACTCAATGTTGAACTGTCTATAAACAATTTCCATTCTTCTGGGTTATAGTTTATATTTAAAGCCGCCAGTAAGCCGTTAATGTTACTGCAGAAAACCAAGTTATTCTCCATATTGAAAAATGGTTCTAAGTCTTTGTGGCGTTTACGAAAATCACATACCGAAACATCGTCTTCTAACAAGTTCCACTGCTGCAGTCTTGATCCAAGTAACTCTGCCTTACATTTTGGAAGTTCTAAATCTCTTACAAGATCATTTAATTCTGACTGTGTTATTTTGTGCGGTTGGTGGCATGACGTGCTCGGTATAAAATCAGGATCTCTTGACGTTGATGGCATATCTTCTTCCTGACGAATCACTCGATCGCCATGATCTGATTCGTTTTCTGATTCGCAAGTGTAGGATTCTGTGGGTTTTGGAATAGGATTTTCGTCACTGTGAGGCACAGGTCTCATCGCAGATGGTATGTTTGGGTAGTTAATAACCGATTTTTTTTTCTTGGACATATCTGTGGCTTGTCCAACCCAAGGTACCATGCAAAAGTAACAATCAGTAATATGATTTGTAGGCTCTCTCCAAACCATTGGGACTGTTTTTTGCCATTTAACCAGCTCCTCAGACTTGAAGCACAGGTATTACAGCAGATGTGGGGTGCCCACTGTTTGTCTTGGTCACCTAGTTTACAACCGAAATAAAGCTGATATGCCTTTGTTATTAGTGGAGTAATAGACCGTCTCTGAGACGCAAAAGTCACATCACCACACACGTAACAAAACTGATCTGGATTGTTTACACACTTTCGAGACATCTTGCATGAACGCTGTCAGCCAACTGAGGAAAAAATGGCTAATATAAAACAATATAATGTACACGTATGTATAACGTAACACAATCATGCCTATTACATCATATTTCCTTGCCGAATATAAAAATGTAGCACGTGCATTCTTGTGAATTACAGTATATTAACACTGTCACAGCAGGAACACATATAATTACCGTATCTCTAAAACTTGAACTAATATTGAAAAAATAAGTTTTATTCCGTTTTTAGCACATTAAAAATAGTAATATTTTGTTGATTTTATTTAGGATATTTTTTGGCTGTTCATCAGTGTTATTAAAGCAACAGGTTCATCCTTTTCACTAAAAATATTGACTTATTGCCTATGTTATTTTATTTATAGTTTATTTAATGTTTATTGGTGTCTGACCAATAAATGCCCGCATTGGGAATAAGTGCCCGCATTGATTTTTTTAAAGAACCCCCCTTTATACAAAATATTTTTTTTTTAAATTATTCTGAAAATTCAAGTATAGGTACACACTAGAATTCGTCAATTTTTGACCTATTTTTAGACAACTTAAACGTATAAGAAGCGGAATTTAATCAAAATAACAGTAAAATTATTGTAAAACGTACGTTTATGTTATAATTAATAAACGAACTCGCTTATTGTACTATTTTAAGTAAAACACTTTTTTTTTATGATTTTTCACTTTTTTCATTTTATTCCTCTTATTTTTTTTTTTCAATGCGGGCACTTATTCCCAATACGGGCACTTATTGGTCAGACACCTATTTATTTAATGTTACGTATATTTTACATAACAGATACAAAATTTTATTTTGAGTAGTTTTAATTTAAATTCAATTAATAAATGCATGAATTAACATGTGTTTTTAACACTAAACTTCACTACAGTTAGAAATTTACAGGAAATCAATATCAGGTAAGTAGGGGGTCTACCCAACACGGAAAAATATGGCAAGGGGTCTACGACACAAAAAAGTTTGGGGAACTCTGTTCTAACGTTTCTTTAAAATCGGTGTAACAGTTACATAGGCTCGCGCAGAGAAGCTTTAGATATTCCGAAGGCAGACATGCCGCTTTGTTCGAAAGACTTATTTTCACGATCACAACGCCGCAGAAAGTCAGTTCTTGATGATGTGTAAACTTTCTGCTAAGTCGGTGACGCTCCCATAAAAAAAAATCACCAAAATCTCATAAATGACGTCCTTTTCCAACCCATTGCTTAAAGCGTGAATATTCTCCTGGAATTTTCGACTGCCGCGCCACATTAAGAGCGACTTTTATATTCTAATCCCTTCAAAGCTTTCCTTTTCGTTTCCCTGCTTTTGTGGACGCGTGCTTTGATCTCGCAAATTCAATGTTTCCAATAAAATACCCCCGGTGGAGTTCGTGGAAATTCGAAATGAGGCCGTGTTATACCATCGATAAGTATTCTAAAGAACGAAAACCTTTTATGTCGGCATTATACCACAAGGCAGGGTTTTCCAATAATAGATCACTGTCTGATGATACGTCTAAGGTATAAATACCGCGGGTTTGAAAGGCAAAGCTTCTGTGTCTCGATTCATGCTTAACGAAATGAACGTTTCTTATTTCTTTAGATACACATAGGCATAGAATAATCGATGTTTTCATTTCGCACGCCTTCTGGCGTAGACGTTTTGAAAATGAGTATTTCGACAGCGTTGGAATGGAAAAGGAGTTTACTTTCATGGCCTTCGCGATCACCAGACTTAACTTGCCTTGATTTTTATTTATCGGGATGGTTAAATACGTTTCAGATGTAACTTACAACCAGAGAAGATATGAAAAACCGTAGTAACATACCGAAAGTCGAAACTGAAGCTGCAGTTTAGTCTGTACATGAAAAGCTCAGAAATGCATAGAGCCCTTTCATTTTTATATCGGTCCTTTTTAGGGCCACAATTTAACAATAATAAAAAGAAACTGTAGAAATTCCCGTATAAAACTATCTTTGTCCTAAATTTTAGGAACAAGATATCGAGATACGGTTTTCACGAGCTTGTTTAGACATCATTTAGGTACTTTTTCATAAAAGAAATCATACCAGTGCATTTAATATTTTTTTACGAAAACTGAATGCTTCTTTATCACCAAACAATACAAGCAGCCACAACAAAAACTAAACAGAAAAACCTGACCATTTTATCACTTATTGTTCATGGCAAGATAAATCAATATGCAGAAAATTCTTGAATTCTAATAAACACACGTAGGTTTTACCTTTTTGTTTGTTACTCAGTATATACAGGGTGGCGCATCGAAAACGAAACGGACGCATTTACTGGCAGATCAGTTTTTTTTTTTGGAAAAACGCTCAGACCCGTCGATTTTGTTTTCGATGGGGACACAAGTTTGGCTGAGTAGCATAGATTTTGCTTTTTAAATGATCGCACATAAATAAATCCAAAGGTGATAATTAGGAGGAAAAAGATGGCGTCCAGCATATAGGCGTGTGCTCGATGCTCAGATAATTTCATTGTGAATACCAAGAATATTTCTTGCGATTTTTGCAAAAAGTTGTTTCATCATCATTGTGCTGAGGTCGACGACAAATTAGCTAAAGTTAAGCGTGATTGTGCGGGAATCAAATGGTTCGGCAGCGATTGTCTTCCAATGATAAATGGCAAACTGAAAATGGCAGATTTTGGGGATGCAGTATTTAATCGAAAACCTGAAAAGTCTGAAGTTAGAATGGTGTCTGGTTCACGGGCGTCAAGGAGCAGTGCTAGTATGCTATATGATTTAGCTGTATTGGAAAAAGAAATTGAGTGCCTGGTAAGAGAAAAAAATTTGATCGATAAAATCGCAAACGAGGGAGGTTATATTGTGGAAATTCAGAAAAAACTCATAAGTGACCTTGGAGATAAATTTTTAAGTCAGCCAGTAGGCAACAGCAGCAAAAACAAAGATTGTATTTCGTACAGTGCTATCGTGAAAATAGTGGACCATTCATATTTGTTGATTAAGCCTGCAGATCGTTCTACTTCGTACAAAACTGTCGAAAATGATTTTAAATCTCGTTATTCGCCCGGTGCTCTTAATGTCAAAATCAACAAGACTAAACTCATCAAAAATGGTCTGATGATCAGCTGTAATACTAAAAAAGATGTAGAGACTCTAAAAGATTCTCTAAAATCTGATTTAGGAAGTAAGTTCGATGTTTGTGAGCCTACCAAAATGTTTCCTAGAATGTTGATACAAGCTGTACCTAACGACTATTTCAAAAATCCTGGTCCAGGTAAACTTGAATTTGTTGATAGTTTTGTTGACGACTTAACATTCAATAACAATTTAGGTGTTAATTCAGATGATATAAAAATAATTAGTTGCTATGAGGTTAAATATACAAAAAATGTTGTTATCGAGGTGGTTCCTTCTGTGTTCAATTTACTTAGTAGCAAAGGGTTTGTTTTTATCGGCTGGGTGAGATGTACTGTGAGGGAAAATTTATATTTGCTACGTTGTTACAAATGTTGTAAATTTGGTCATGGTAAGAAAGATTGCCGAAGCAAGAATGTTGTCTGTTCTAAGTGCTCAGGTAATCATGAATTTAGAGATTGTAAAGCTGATGATTCTTGTTGTCCCAACTGTAAGTTTCATAATCATAGATATAAAACTAACTGGTGTACAAAGCATGTTGCAAGTGATACCTCTTGCAGTTATTACAAAATGAAGATCGATAACTTGAAAATGCAGATTGCTTATGAATAATTGCACAAAAACTTATAACCATTTTGTTGTTGGACACCTGAATGTAAGATCTCCGTTTGCTGGCTTTGATTCCTTTGTAGATTTGTTGACTACTGATAACTATGATATTATGAGTATCTCCGAAACATGGATTAATAATGATTTTACAGATATAGTAAATATTCCTGAGTACACTTTTTTCCATACTGATCGAGTAGGACGTGGAGGAGGAGTTGGTGTTTATTTAAGCGATTCACTGAGAGGTAAGCTGGTATTGCAAGATTTTTTATGTCCAGATGGTATGGAGCAGGTTTGTGCTGAAATAGTGTTGAATAATCTAAAAATTATGGTTTGTGTTATCTACAGAGCTCCTTCGAGCAGATTATCAAGTTTTATTGATCATATAGACAACTTTATCTCATTTGTGTCTCCTCAGTATGATAATATATGCTTGCTGGGTGACATAAACGTTGATCATCTTACTGACCATTCTTTTCTAGATTGCATTACGTGATACGATATGGTATCTCACATCACCCAACCAACTAGGATAACTTTAACCACGGCAACCTCCATAGATGTCATTTGTACAACAAATAACTTAGCTGAATCATTAATTTCAACTAGCTCTGCACCTGTTCCAAATTTGTCAGATCATAATGTAGTCAGATGTGACTTCAACATCACAAAAAAGTTATGTGAGGCAATTATACTTCCAAGTTTATTTTACTGTAGCACTGTGTTCTATCATTGTCTTGATTCTATCACAAAAGCAAGACTCCAAAAACTCCAAAATACTTGTTGTCGATTTGTATTTAATCTCAAGAAGTATGATCATGTTTCCTTAAAGAGATTTCAGCTTGGTTGGATATGTGTATAGAAAATGCTTGCAAGTACCATATAGCAGTGTTTACACATAAGATCATATCTTCTCGATCCCCCTTGTATCTTTATGAGAAATTTGTTTTCAGACGAAATAATCCAGACATTGATTTCAGACACAAAAAAAGACTAGAGATCCCTATGTATAAAACAACTTTATTTCGTAGTTCATACACTTACAATGCTATCCTGATTTATAACGAATTAGATGACAATATAAAGGTTTGGCCAGTAAACAGATTTCGTACGCATGTGAAACAGATTTATTTGTCATTGTAGTAATTGTGGAAAAGTTAGTTTTTTACGTAATATATGTGTGTATATTATGTATGTCAGGAAGCTATCAAGCTCATTGTTTTGAAGCGTCTTTTGCTGCTTGTCAAAGTTTCCTTTCATTAAGTATTTCAATTTATTATTTGGGTAGGTTAAGTAGAGTAGCCAAGAGCTAGACTTCGCCTACGTAGAGGTCACATTATGTTGTAGTTTATGTAATGTGCCTAATAAAGACATTTTATTATTATTATTATTATTTATTATAAATTTGGCAATCTTGGGGCCCATTCAATGGCACCTCTTCTACCAATCCATCGATCTGGAAACGTCTGATGTGAATATTGTCGAACACGTAATGCGTGATGTGGTGGGGCACCATTCTGTTGGAACATCAACCTATTCGCAATGTACCGCCGATCATTCTGATTTTCAATTATGGCTGTTAATGCAGGATCTATGGAGTCTTCCAGTAATTCCAAATTCATTTCACCGGTCAAATTTCTAGGTAAGAATAAAGGACCAACTAAATGATTTTTTGTGGCTGCTGTGTATGAACCTCATGATAAATTCTGGGATTAGAATCGTGTATAGTTCGTTCACTCATATCTTCACAAAATTGTAATCGCCGATCAAAATCGTCTTCATTAAGTCCTTGTACCCTGTATAACTGATTGATCAACTGTATGTATGTCAAGACCAAAGCTGCTATTGCTCTGTCTCTTGCAAATTTTTTGTACAGTGATTTGTCAGTATAATCAAACATTCAACGCTTGCCGGTTGAAACAGTTCGACTAGCAACAAAAAGACCAAGAGCCACGACCGTTTATTTAATTTAAACCCAGCTCCCTCTAGGATATTCTTTGACGTGTTAATGGCCCTGATGTTATTGGATAATTGAAATCAATGTAAACTACGTTGCCGTGTCTCTAAGCCGTGTAGAGCAAATTGTCAATAAACGCGGCGATCAGCTCATTTGCATCGCTACTTCTGTATAGAAGCCAGAGATCTAGCAAGAATGTGATAATAAATAATGAATAATAATCATTACATGTTGTAAGACATTTGTGAAAGATCTGTCTCGAGCTAGCTGGGACTCTGTGATAAACAAAGCCCACAACAGCTATTTGTATTATATTGCCGTTTCCAAAAATATTTCTCGGGAAAAGTAGCAACTGTTTTTCAACATATACTGAGTGACAAGAGAAGGTATGTTTATTAGAATTCAGGAACTTTGTACATATCGATTTATTTTGCCATGAACAACAAGTGATAAAATAGTCAAGTTTTTCCTGTTAATTTTTTGTGGCGTTTGCGTGTATTGTTTGGTGATAAAGAAGCATCCACTTTTCGTACATTTACTGTGTCAGCTAAATTATTAAAATCGGATAAACATAGGTAGATGTTTACCTTTTTTGGTCACTTAGTATAGTTGGTTGTGCATGGCGAGAATGCTCTTATACATTTAATGTCATATTTTGCTTAGAGCAATAAGTTATACATATACAGGGTGACTTTGAAGCTGAGTCATTAATTTTCAGATAATGATTGCAGAAGGAAGATAAACCAAAATATGTGTGTAAAAATAAAAAAAAAATAAAAAAAAAATGTTACCTTGTTTTATAAAGTATCCTCCCGACAAGTATTTCAGTGCGGACCTGTATTTGATCGTGCGGTCTTGGAGCACCGGCATGCCCTCCCCTGTGAGGTCTTAAGTCACCTGATTCACGAGCCCTTTGTACTACATTAAGAAAGGCACGAGGGGTTGGTTGCACTCGATTGGGAAACCGATCCGCATAAATCCGTGATGCCGCGTTAATAAGAATCATGTCCACAAGTTCAGCATTTTCGTAAACATGTGTCATTTTTGATTTCGTTTGAGCCACGCAACAGACACCACTATTCACTCACGCGTTACCGACTGACACTGACTGTATACAACTGAATAAAATAATTGTAAAAACATCGTTCCAAATTCTTTCGCTTTTTTGTTTCCGATGCGATGAACCGATAAGGCGGATTATATCCGTTGTTGCCAAACACGAGCACATAATATTATTATTGAGACAGGGCGGTACTCAAACTTCCAAAGGGCTATAACTTTGTTACTTTAATTTTACCAGAAAAATGGTAAAGGAAAAAACATTTCTTTTGATCAGATCTACTCACTGTTAAAATAAATGACTCAACTTCGAAGTCACCCTGTATATGCATACAATACATTTATGGCAAACGATTATAGATCTTACATCATAGGTGGGTGAGGCATCCTAAGCTGACATTTCTTTGCAAAGTATGTACAGCAGACGCTCGATAACGTGAACACGGGATAATGAAAACTTGCGCTAATGTAAACACAAACTTCGTTCTATAGAATCAAACGGAACGCGCGATAACGTAAACAATGTGTACGCTCGATAACGTAAACAACTCTCGGCGCACGGAAACAGCGCGACGGTAAAATGCTGAAGCCTCGATGATTTATGTCGGGCGTCGGGAAGTCCCCGATTTATGATGTAGAGTGTAGGGGATTCACCTCTGCGATAAAACACGACAAACGCGGTCAGTCGTATTATCGTTTAGGATACGTTTATACGTACGAATGTATTTCATTTTTGAACTTAAGTGAATACATTGCACGCGTTAATATATTTTACGACTATGGCATCCACATCCTATAAAAGAAAGTGTTTAAAGTTGAGTGAGAAAGTGAGAATCATAGACGAAGTTAGTGTCGAAGCACTTAAACAGAGAGCGAGACTGTTAAATGAAAAACTAAAAGAATACACGATATGGAATTCGACTGCTGTCTATATCTGGTGAAAAATTATCAGCACAACCACAATTAGTGCAACCGTTCAAAGAAAAATTGATGAAAACAATTACCGAGCTAGATTTAATAATGGAACAAATTTACAACGCAGATGAAAGTGGCCTTTATTGGAAAATGTTACCAGAGAAAACCTATGCTGCATCATTTGAAAAATCTGCCCCGGGAAGAAATCCGGAGAAACAACGAATAACGTTTCTAGCCTGCACTAATGCTAATGGTTCACACAAAATAAAGACACTGGTAATTGGGAAAGCAAAAAATCCGCGCTCATTTAAAAATGTTAATATCCCTGTTGATTATGACTGTTCGAAAACCGCTTGGATGACTAGCAGTATATTCCTGAAATGGTTCCACAGGTGCTTTGTCCCTCAGGTATGACAATCAATTATCACAAATGCTCTATTCATAATTTGAAGATGTGTTTTCAATTTGTAGGTAAAAGGTTTCCTAAAACAACAGAAGCTTCCAATAAAAGCGTTGTTACTATAGGATAATGCACCAAGTCATCCTCCCGAGCAACAACTGAGCGGCAGGGATGGGTCAGTTTTCGTCATGTACATGCCGCCCAACGTAACACCGTTAATTCAACCGATGGACCAGAATATAATAAGACTCACCAAACTATACTATAGGAAGTTTCTACTTTCGTCTGTCTTATCAAAGAATCCTGAAAACTTATCTGAAGCTTTAAAAAAAGTAACATTACGAGAAGCTGTTTTAGATTTACAAATGGCCTGGAATGAACTTAACCACCAAACTATTCAAAAATGTTGGAACAATCTCTTTTGTACCAATAATGAAGATGATGAAGAAGACGATGTCCCCTTAAGCGTAATTAGAGAACGTTTGCGATCCAATAATGATAATGTTATTAGTGTGTCATTGGATGTTGTTGATTTATTGAAAACAGTGAATCCCAACATTGTTTGTACTCCTGCTGATATTAATTTATGGAACGAAGATAGGCAGACGAATGATGCTGATAAGGAGGAGGATATGGACAGTGAGGATGATCAGAACGATCCCATTGAAGTCAGAAGTGTAGTGACTGACGTGCAAGCTATACAAGTTTTTAACCAAGCTTTAAATTGGGCTGAAAGAAAAGAAGTTTCATACACTGATATTTTAGTTCTTCGTAAATTACGGGCGCAGGCATTGGAAGACAATGCTAAGCGCAAGTTTACGCAGACTAAAATTGTTAATTATTCTTCTTCTAATTAAAAAAAATACTTATCGCTGTTAGAATATTTGTTTATTGTGTTATAAATAGTATGTATTAAACGTTTCTTTTAATAAATCAAATATTATACAAATCACGTTCGCTAATGTAAATATTTCGATAATGTGAACCACACTTGGATTAAATTAGTTTACATTATCGAGCGTCTGCTGTATTTCTAAGTTGTGATTTTCTTTATGTCTATATCTTGACCAACTTTATTGTAGTTGTTCTTGTGCGTATACATGTCGTCGTCCATAACACGAGTGGCGTATCTCATTTTTTCCAAATTTACAGTGTTTTGAATATTTTCACGAGATTTGAGTTGTTGTTGACAAAAAGTTATTATTGCTACATAATCGAGTTTGTGGGTGTATCTGCTCGTGTTTACAAACTTCTCAAAAATGAACAACGATTAACCCATTTTTCATTGCATGTGTTCAAAATTTCCAAAAAAGGTAGATACTTCATTTTGTGAAACTGAAGGGTCGTAATCCATAGAATAAAGACTTAGTTACGTCCGTGAAATATGAAAATGATGAAAAATAAAAAAAAAGTTTTATTATAAGACACAATGTTTACAAAATGGGGAACAGTGAATACTATGGCGAAATAAGTATCCGTAGTATCTAAATCTATTTAACACCTTGTAAAAGTAAATATGCACAAACAAAAGATTCACTCAAATAATAATTAGTATTTCTGTTAGTATAAAAAAGCTGTATTTGCGTTGTAGGCAGTTACTTGGTCTCTAAAAATAATTTGTCAGAAGGATAAGTGATTTTTTGCGAGCTGCATAAAATTAGGACAGATACGTTAATATAGGTTTATACAGTATAATGAGCCCTTAATTGTTCATTAGTAATCTCCGCCTCATACCGATGATTTATCAAATTTCCATTGACAATCAACGCGTGTATTCCATGTTGACTCGTGCATGTTGAAATATCCATTCATGTAGATAGGTACAAGTCAGCTGTCACAATGCTGATATTTGTGCGCGCATAATATGAGTTCAGTCATTAGCATACTATCCCATATATCATCTCTGAATATGGGCTCTACTCATCCAAACTATATCAAATGTCAAAGTTTGGCCTAGTGGAACTGAGGTTCCTATGTAAAACACATTATACACGGTGTCCCGAAAAAGGTGTGCAGTATTCTACCAGCGGTTTCTAGAGCTTAAAATAGGAAGAAAAGTTCATATAAACGTAGGTCGACAAACGTCCCGTAAGGGCGCTACGGTCTTTTAAAGGGGCTCCCCTTTTTTTGATTTTAATCTAGTAATTTTACACTGCTAACAATGTCAGCTTAACGTGAAAAAAAGTCATAACAAATCAAAATAACTTTTGTTTGCAGTCATATGTATAGTCAACAATTCATTTAAGTTCGCAGTACATTTCTTATCATGTGACAAATTTTTTAGATTGATTTTATTCAAAAATGGCACAATTTATCGATATTGAATAAAAGTAACTTTTTTATGTATAAAACCCTAAATTTTCAAATTCTAAAATTGAATTTCAAAAATATAATCACACAAAAATGTTGGGGCTAAAATAACCTGAGTCCGTCCCTGTAACATACGCTTCCAAACAAAATTGTCTAAAATTGGTAATATTTTTAAATTCAGCATAAAAAACTAGGCTAGAATACCAAATGTTATGTCTTTATCTCAACACGTTTCGGAAATATTAAGGAAAAACCATCTTCGGGGGAACCCCTTTAAAAGACCGTAGCGCC